GAAAAATCCCCAAGCAATCGCCAGGAGTATAGGATAACGCAGAACCTTTTAATGATAATTCAATATGTCTAGTTTCTTTATTAGATCCATTTCTATTTAAACAAATATTCTTAAGAACTCTTGCTTTAAACGGATTTTTCCTGGAAAACGGCTCCTTCAATTCTCCGCTTTCTTTTGATAACTTCGTAAATGCTAGTTCCGAAATTTTTATTGATTCTGTGGGACAGTCTTCGCATGCATCTTTAAGATCAAATTCTAAGTCAATCGGTATAGAGGTCCTTCCTTCGTTATTATCTATTCTTACAAATGCTAACCCTTCCTCATCATAATCAAAAATATCAGGGGCTGTGGCTCCACATGCTCCGCAAGCAATACATGTACCTTTATCGACAATGGTATATTTAGACATTTCATAACTCCCTTCTGTACTATAATCGACCACAATTATTAACGAAAAGATAATAAAATATATAAATACCTTCTAAAAGAAAATATATTATCTACATTTCTATCTTAAAGAAATTAAAATTAATAGTAAATAAATAGTCATTCATTTGTTTGGAATTCAAAATTAAGTCCGTATTCTTTGTGCGCCGAAACAATCATCATTTATTCATTAAGTAAACTACAAGCATCATAAGTTTTCATATATAAGTTAGTTTAAAAGTCGGTGCTATATACGCGAGCCAATGGATTCCAATTTAACTAAATCAAAATTAATATGACTTCTAAATCAACCTTTTGATCTGATAAAGAATTACTGTCAAGTCTCTCTAATGAAACGTTATCTTCATTCAGATGCATCCCAGGAAGTTGCGAGTTCCCTAATCAACATCATTCTATTCTTATATTCCTTAAATAGAATCTGTACATCTACATCTACAACACCACTTAGTTGGTATAGCTCCGTCTTCACATAGCGCTCCATTTCTTCATGATTCTTAAATTGACCATGGGCTCTTAACTTACTATTCCCCGTCATTTGACACAAATAAGTAATATGGACATCATCCATAAGCATTTTTGCGATACCCTCTAAACGATTCGGTTGAACACTTATATCTATACATACAGACACAAATAGTCCAACCTTATCCGGATCAACTAATACTGTGAACTGCTCTATGACTCCATGATCAATCATCGCATTGATTCTAAGTTGAACAGCAACCCGTGTTAATCCTATCAATTGACCAATATCCGTATATGACGTCCTTCCATTTTTATTGAGTTCATCTAAAATCAAACGATCTATTTGATCTAGTGTTACATATTGCCTGTCATGTAAAGTTGTAATTTTCATAATGACCTCCAATTAATTGTATTTAAACAAAAGAGTAAACAAACGGAAAAATAAATCGGTTGCAATTATTATAACGTAAATATATCAATTGAAATTTGTCATATTATATAACATATAAATATCATTTGATATAAATATTTGTTGACTCCCCTCTTTACTAGAGATATTATCTTGTTAAAAAAATACCTAAACGTAAATAAACAAGAAATATTTTTACGTTTTGAAAATAAAGGGAGTGATAATATCACATTAATATAACATAATACGGCAAGTTGTAACTTTCCCACCTATCAATTTGCATAGCTCCTTGCAATGAAGAGTAGCCAGATTTAACTCTAAACAACTTTTTATAAGAAACGACATATTTTACAATTTTAGAAGACGAAAAAATATTGTATCAAAAGAGAGGCTTACTGCGCCCCTTGAATGTATTAAACCGAGAGCAAGAGGGAGATTATTCCGGCTATTCGTGCCCATTGTTATCCAAAATATTCACAAGGTGAATTTATAAAAAATTAGAAAATATTGAAAGGATGCGTTAAGTCCATGAAAATATTAGATCCTGTTTTAGGAAATCAGTGGCTTCCTGTTATTAAATCAGATGAGTTGTGTGATACTCCTGTTGCCATCACGCTTCTTGGAGAGAAAATTGTTTTATTCCGAACATCTAATGGTGTTAATGCTATGCGTGATTTATGCATTCACCGAGGAACTCCATTATCATTGGGCAAAATAGAAAACAATGAGATCATCTGCCCCTATCATGGGTGGGTTTATAACGAATTGGGTGCATGCACGAAAATTCCAGCACTACGTGAGGGAATAACAATCCCACCAAAAGCCTGCACCCCCGTTTATCACACTCAAGAGTGGTTTGGCCTTGTGTGGGTTTGCGTTGGAACTCCTTCCTCTCCTGTTCCCGAGGCTCAACCATATTTAGAGGAGGGTTTCTCTTCTATTCTCATGGGATCCTATCCAGTTCAAGCATCCGCTCCACGAGTTATTGAGAATTTCCTCGATGTTTCCCACTTGATGTTTGTTCATGAAGGACTTTTAGGTGACTCTTCATACCCAGAAATTGACGATTATCGAATGAACGAGAAAAGATGGCATCCTCATTTCAGACGAGATTATGGTATTCCAACCCAATGCAGATGGCCGTGGTCGACAAGTCACAAATTATTATGTGTACGAAATTTTCAGTCCGATGAGCGTACGAATTAAATTAAGGACAGCAGGTTCTGAAGATATTTTACACCTTACATTGGTTGTTGCACCCAACAGTAATACTTCAAGCACAGCTTTCGTTTTTCACCAACGTAACTATGACTTAGATACTCCAAAGGAATATTTCATTAAATTTCAAGATTTGCTAATTGAACAAGACAAGGCCATCGTTGAAAATCAAAAACCCGAATTACTTCCTCTGGATTTGCAAGAAGAACTACATCTTAGATGCGATCGAGTTGCTATTGCATATCGAAAGAAACTAAAAGAATTAGGGGTAACTATCGGAATAGCTTGATTTTTAATGACTAATTTAACTAGGAAGGTGAAGAAGATGAATAGAAAATTTCAGAGAATTTCAATAAGTCAAGAGGCTATAGATGCCTATTATGATGCAATGCGATTTTTGTGGCATCCTGTTGCCCGATCATCTCAAGTGACAGATCAACCTCTTGGTATTCAGTTACTTGAGATCAGACTGGTATTAGCCAGGCTAGAAGGAAAGGTAGTTGCAATGGAAGATCATTGTCGACATTTAGGTGCATCACTATCAATGGGAAGGATTGAAAATGGTTGTCGCTTGAGATGTATGTACCACGGTTGGCTCTTTGATAATAGCGGTAATTGTGTGGACATTCCTAATCGTGAGGGAGCGCCTATCCCAAAAGATGCAAAACAACACACAGCCTCAGTCCAAGAAAGGTATGGGATGATATGGGTCTGCTTAGAGGAAAAGCCCAAGTATAACATCCCTGAGTTTCCTGAGATGGACGATCCAGCATTTAGTCCAGGTTCCATTAAAGAATATACATGGAAGGCCAGTGCACCGCGTAGTGTTATGGCAGCATTAGATGAGAGTCACTTTCCTTGGGTACATGAGGGCTATTTAGCTGATCCTGAAACATTCGAACTACCAGACCGCTCTGTAACACAAGAGGGCTTAGCAACAGTTTCAAGATTCGGATACGCAGAAACTGCAAATCCAGGAAATTGTCCGACTGAATCAATGCTACAAGGGATAAAAACTGTAAATGTAACCTACGAAAAATATGGTACGCCTAACACTTTTCGGCTTGTGAAAGTCAGTCCTAAAGGCACACTAACAATATGGTTCGGAATCTGTCCGGTTTCCTTTGACGAGTCGATTAGCTATTGGAGAATTACGCACGACTACACTATGACACCTGAAGAACATGATGAGCTTGAAAAGTTTGATGAAACGGTGCGTTTTCAAGATAAACCTATTGTTGAAGCACAGCGTCCATGGCTATTACCACCACTTTCTTCAAGACTATCATTATACGTGCGCCCAAACGATGCCCCACTGATTGCTTATCAAAGATTCCTTGAAGAATTAGGCATCCCCCAAATATAACAAAACAACATTCACTAAATTATAGAGGTCACCTATTCTTCCGGTGTACCTCTTTTATATTTTCCAAAGTTAGATTAAAGGCATCTTCTATCAAACTTCATCAGTTTTATCATTAAGTCTGATGTATATTCATCACAAATCAAAAACTACAATTCTGGATGCAATAATGATTCTTTTGATTAGCAGCACCAAACTCCCCATCATGAAATAGCACTCTATAAGAAAAAAGAGAAACCTAAGAAATAGGTTTCTCAATAATCGGAGGAAGATTAGTTAAATCACTAGAAATTATACATTACTCAAACAAACTTGCACCATTCGTTTTAATTACATTTTGATACCACTTGAAACTATCCTTTTTGAATCGTTTACCCGTACCTTTTCCTTCATCATCAAGATCAACATAAATGAAACCATATCTTTTACTCATCTCTGCAGATGACGAACTAACAATATCGATAGGCCCCCATGCACAAAACGTGAGTACTTCGCCTCCATCATCAATAACATTTTTTATGGCTTTCAGATGTTTATCATAATAATCAATCCTATATTCATCATGCACGGTTCCATCCTCAAAAACATCAATGGCCCCAATTCCATTTTCAACTACCATCATAGGCACTTGATAGCGATCCCAGTACTGGGACAAACAATTATAAAGTCCCAAAGGATCAACTCGCCAATCCCAAGGAGTTGGTTCCAAGTAAGGGTTTTGTTCTGATGAGTTCACTGCCATCGTATTTTTCTCTGCATCCACAACTTTAGTGTAATAGTAGCTTACAGCCAAGAAATCCATTGTGTTTTCGGCAAGAATGCGGCTATCGTCTGATTCTTGGATAATCTTAATCCCATTATCCTTAAAATAACGCAGTGCGTATCCAGGGTATTGTCCCCTGAATTGTACATCAGAGAAGAAATATTGCATTCTGTTTTTCTTCATAGTGTAGATTACATCTTCAGGTTTGCAGGTTGCTGGATACGAAGTTGAATCTTCAAGCATTGTCCCAATCAATGCATTGGGGAGCCACTTTACGGGCAATTTCTTTTAGTGAGAGCACGCAACAAATTGGTTGTGTACAGCCTGGTACATTAATTCTTCCATGTTCTCAGATTGTCCGGAATAAATCCCGAGTGAATTAAATTCGACTGTAGGAACTAAATTGACTTGGTTGAATACTATCCAATATTTCACCTTATCTCCGTATCTTTCAAGCAGTACTTTGGCATAATTAACAAACAAATCTACGACTTTGCGATTAGCCAAACCACCATATTCGGTAACCAAATGAATCGGCATATCATAATGTGCCATCGTAATAATTGGCTCCATATTGTGACTAATAATAGAGTCAATTAATCGATCATAGAAAGCTAGCCCTTCTTCATTTGGTTCAGTTTCATCACCTTTTGGAAAGATACGAGACCAAGAAATACTGGTTCTAAATGTTTGAAGTCCAAGCTCGGCTAGTAAATCAAGATCTTTTTCATACGTATGATAAAAATCAATACCATATCTCTTCGGATAATAACCTTCTCGATCATTCAAGGCAAGACGAATGTTTTCAAGAGTTCTTTCGCCCCCTTCCTTAGAAATGTTATTTCGTTGAATATCCCTGTCATATTTATGGATATCAGAAGTCGATGGACCTCTTCCATTCGTATCAAATGCTCCTTCTGCTTGACATGCAGCAATAGCTCCGCCCCATAAGAAATTCTTTGGAAATTCATTCACCATAAAAATGTTCCTCCTTAAGATACTCCGTAGTATAGTAGATTAAATAAAGAAATTATTGTTTTAATTCAAGGACCTCAATTAACCTCTTTGTGATAGCCATTTCAGATGCTACGATCATTAGATTATCTTGTGCATGGTTGAACAATATTGTTGGTTGATGCGTTTCGCCACGAGCCTCTGCTTGAATCAATTTTGTTTGAGATCGATGAGCTTCAACGATTTCAGCATTAGCTTCTTCCATTTTAGCTTTTGGACTTTCAAAATCCCCTACTTTAGCGTCTTTAAAAGCATCATCTATCAGTTTCCTAGCATTCCCTGAATGCAAGATGATTTTCATCGCGATTTCTGCAAGTTCATTTTGTTTCTCGTTTTCATTCATAGTAATAAATCCCCTTCCAATTCCTATAAATAATTTTTATTAACTGAGAGCGGGCTGACTTTCTAATTCGTCTTCTAATTGGTCTTCCATTCGTTCTTGTTCAACCCTTTGTTGTTCATACACTTTGAAAAAAGGATACCAAGTTAAAATGTAAACGACGAACATAAGGGCATATACGATAAAAGATCGCCAATCCTGGGTAATCATAAATGTAGAGAATGGCGAAGGGATTTGCCCCACTTGAATCATTTGATGTGGGATATTTAGCCACCCGAGTCGCATGACTATCCAAACGATCAGTGGTCCAGTAATACCATTAATCCATAATGGAAGCATCAACATTGGATTCATCACCACAGGTGCACTAAACATAAGTGGTTCGTTGATATTGAAGAATGATGGTACAATTGTAATCTTCCCGATTGTACTCAAGTCTCTGGATTTTGAACGAAGCATCAATATGTTTAAGCCCAACGTAGCTCCTACGCCACCCATCGTAGTTAGTGCCGCAGTGTATACGGTCTCACCTGTTGAAATATTCATCGCCGGCAACCCCTGTTTTACTGCTTCAATATTTGCAGCTATACCCGCCAAAAAAATTGGTGTAGCAACTGCACCCCATAACCAAGTTGAGATCCCCATAGAATATAAAAATGTGGGAATAAAACAAAGTAACAAAAAACCCGGTAACGTCTGTCCAAAGGATTGAATTGGCGTAAAAATCCCCACAATGACTTGGAAGATATCAATCCCAAAATCAAATGTCAATAATCCAGCAATACCAAGAATCAGCAGCATAGGAATGATATTATTAAGCCAGATGACAACAAAATCAGGAGCATTAGATTCTTTCATAAAATTCAATCTACCAAATAGATCGAAGACTAGCGTTACAAAGATACCGGCAATTAACCCAACCATAATACCTGTTGGACCAAATCTAGCAAACTCTACACTGAATAATCCATTAGTATCTACAGTTGGTTTGATAAAAATAATAAATACACTAACAGATGTTAAAGCTGCATTGATTTGATACGGAGTTCTGTTTAACTTTTCCATCGCTTGATGTGTCAGCATATATGCTGTGATTAGCCTATAACATACCAAATGAATAATCAGCGATCACCCCAAGATCAGGAAGCAACACGATATATGACCGTAAAACATTATACAAAAAGATAATTGAACCAGTAAGAATGAAAGGAATAACCTTTTGCATTGCACTTGATAATGCTGCAATCCAAGGGAGATTGGCGATTTTCTGCATTTTTGGAGCAAATGATTCACTAAGCCAATTCATAAATCTCTCCACCGTGGATCACCTCCTATTAGATTTCAGCATCAGTTTGAATGACTTTAATGGCGAAATCCAATAATTTGTCTCCATCCAACATCCCGTAGATTTTTTGAGGAATAACGTCTACTGGAACATTATATAGCTTTGCGGCTTCAGCAAATTTTTCTTTGTGAGAAGCATAATGCGGTCCCAACAACAAAACATCTACTGTAGATAACAAGCTCGCTGCTTCTGCTTCACTTTTAGCATCAATACTTGCTTCAATCCCTCTTTTCTTTGCTGCAGCTCTTGCCTTTTGAGCCATAAATCCACTAGACATCCCAGCACCACAGCATAATAAAATCTTTACTTTTTCCATTTCTGTTCACTCCTTAGCGATGTTGTATATTCATTATCCTTCATAAATGAATACGTTTTCGACTAATTAATTGCACGGCACAGTACAATTGATTAGTTCCAAAAATATTCGTTAATACTACTATTGTTGTTATAATTACGTTTAATCCAATTTTCTATACGTAGGAGGAACATATGCAAGACATTCAAAAACAGCTTATTTCTTATTTGATAAATCAGGACAAACCGACTATGGCAAGTGATATAGCTGATCAACTCAAAGTCTCGGTTAGAACCATAAAAACCTATATAAAAAACATCAATTCGCTTGCGCACGACAAGGTTATCTTGTCATCAAACAAAGGGTATATTATTGATAAAAAATGTGCCGGCAAGTTACTACACGACCAAAACTCGATTCCCCAATATTATTCTGAAAGAGCTATTTTCATCATCAAGAAAATACTTGTTGATCATCAAGAACCAGATGTATTTGATCTTTGTAATCAGCTATACATTGGTTTCTCAACATTAAAGAATGATTTATATAAAATGAATGTAACATTTAAAAAATTTAACATTAAATTCGTCACTAAACATGAACGGGTTCGCATTATAGGTTCTGAAAAGGACAAAAGATCACTTTTATCCAATGTTATTTTCGAGGAAACTCCAAGTAGTATTCTTGGGGTGAAGACCCTTAATAAGTCATTTGGGAAAGAATTTATTAACACGGTATCTAAAATAATTCGGGACCATTTCTTAATTGGAAGTTACTATATTAACGATTTTGTTTTCGTCAACTTGGTTCTACACTTTGCTATTTTAATTGATAGGGTTACAAAAGGTAATCTGCTTGATTCTTCTAGTATCGGAACAGAATTTCTTTCTGATGAAAATGAAGAAATAAACGTGATTTCACAGATATCCACTGCCATTGAGGAGGCATTTGACATACATCTGCCAGAAAACGAACGATGTGAAATTTACGTTTTATTTAAAACTAAAGTGAATTACCGGATAAATAAGGATTATAAAAAGTTAGAAAACATCGTGGGCGAAGAAGTTATGCAAACTACTGGACGTATTATCGCGGAAGTAAAAGATCTTTATTCTATTGAGTTGAATAGTGATGAATTTATCATGCCATTTGTAATGCATATTAAATCCTTAATAACTAGAGCTTCACTAAATAAAAAAAACAAAAACCCTTTACTAACTAATATAAAAGAAGATGGACCTTTTATTTATGACATGGCTATCTTCATTTCTTTAAGACTCTCTGAAATTTACAAAATTCAAGTTAACGAAGATGAGATCGCTTTTATAGCAATTCACATCGGAAGTGAAATTGATCGTCAAAAGGCAAACACAGATAAGTTAAAATGCATTCTACTATGTCCAACGTATTTGGGATTAGAAAAGAAAATTTACAACTATTTATCGCTCTCTTTCTCTGAGAATATTACCATTGAGCGGGTTGTAACATCTTATGATCAAATTCCGAACCACACCTTTGATTTACTATTTACAATAGTTGATAATCAAAAAAACACATTATATCCTTATGTACGCATCTCTCCACTTAATCTTGAAGAACAGAAATCAAACATTTTCAACAAAATACATGAAATCCAAGAAAACAAGAAGAAAAAATTAATACTAGATAATTTTGAAAACTATTTTAATCCAAAACTCTTTTACATTGATGATAGTATAGATATGGAAGGTATTATTCATAAAATATGTGGTGATATGGAGAACCTAGGTTTTGTCTCAAGTTACTTTAAGAAAACGGTTTTTGAGAGAGAAATGGTTTCTTCAACTTCATTCGGTAATGTGACTATACCGCATTCTGTGCATATGAATGCATTACAAACAAGCATTGGTGTACTTATTAGTAGAAAAGGAATCCCTTGGGGGAATAATACAGTAAACTTCGTTCTTCTAATAGCTATAAATAAACTAGATAAACAACGTTTTCTAGTGATATATAATGCAATATTAACTCTATTTGATAATAAGGATTTCATAGAAATGTCTAAAAAATCAACTACATTTACCGAATTTAAAAGAATTCTATTCTCTTATCTGTAGAGCTTGAATCATTTTAAAGACTGAAATTAAAATTTTGTCTAGATACTTAGCTTACTTTAGGTGATTTTATAGAAAAAGAGAGAAAGGAATCCGAAATTACAATCATAATTAAAAGTGGAAGTAGACAAAGGAATGACTTTTTACCGAATTAATATTTATAGAAGTAGACACAATACGCTTATAATTTTCTAATCGATTCTTTACCTTCCCCAAAAGTGAAATCTTTTATTAGCTTCGCGCCAGTCACCCCAGTCATCTCTAGATGGATATGATAATGATCAATCACAAAAATAAATGGTGCCAGATAAAGAAATCTGGCACCTCAAATGTGAAGATAGGGTATAGCGTGCCATTTTAATTGGTCAGCTATTCTGTCTAATATTCTTATTTTTCCTTCGGAGAACTAACATCTAAATAATTCTAATCAACCTAAATAGTTGGGATAGCCTTTATAACCGAAGCGTTTTAATTTTATACATTATTAGAATAATTTATTTGAAAAATATTAATAATTGTAATTATTACGATTAAAAAGAATGTATCCTCTCTTCTTTTGTGTCAAGATCACCCCCTTTTCAAAGAATCATTAAGGATTCATTGAGTTACTTAAGTAACTAAGAATACCTTTCTTCTTTGTGGTTCTAATCTAGCATCTCCAAAAAAGCATATTTTTATCTCTTATCAACTGAGCCAGAACCTTCTGTCTCCTTTAACCCAAGTTGAATAATCATTAAGTTCAACAATACTTTACTCAAATTAAGTTCACGTGCAATTTCTCTTCGGAGGACTACTCCATAATGATCTCTAATAAAATCTTCATATCCCTCAGGGATGAATACTTCCATCATTTTTTTAGATTTAGTGTTGTACTTACTAATGTCGCTATTGTCATGATAACTATTCATAAGAATTTTGTGCTCTCCCTCCTTAAAAATATATTTTTGGATAGCTGAGTGCTCCCCCCAATCCAACCTTCCCTTTCAAAAATTACTACCTTGTTAAACTTGACACTAAAATATCATCTTGTATCTAGCTTTATTGCAGACTTTGTTGACTTCCTCATAGATAAAATTTAACGACTACTAGAACTCTTTCTTTTACTATAGTCCAACTGCGATATATTTTCCCT